GGGAGCATACTTGCATAAACTCCTTTGTTCTCTTTTAGGTATCTGTGACTTATCTGAAGAAAGTGAAACAGAAAAATGTGACTTTTTATTTCCTCATTAATTCTGTAATTTAACCGCTGATTGTATAGAATTCAGGGTTTCTGCAGAACTATTCTTTATAGTAGAATTATTGAAACCAAAGATTATAAAGATTTCAGATATCTTTTCCAGAAACCATCAGAGCTTCTCACCTGGTTCCATGTTCTGCTTTGGAGTAATACTTCCTGCTGCCATCTTCCTGAAGATACCTTACCTGGAAGTCTCCCCTGATCCTAATGCACCCCCCCCCAAAGAACTCCCAGATATTTCTGGTGATTAAAGTTCAAAAATCCAACAGTTGAAATTATTTCTCTATTGTATTTTCCTGGCCATATAGTTTAGCTGTATGTGACAGGTGATTTCAGATCTTCTTTTCCTACATTCAAAGATATAAAAGATATCGAATAATAGAGCAGCTTATTGGAAAACAGCATCTTATTTAAGAAAAGCCCAAAGAGCATGTCTTTTTACAAAAGAAAATGTAATCCTTCCAGCTTTTAAAAAAAGAGGTGTTAGCACACTATAATAAAAGATTAAGTTTAATGCAACATTCCTAGTTAAATGTGTTAGCAACTTTAAGGTTCCTGAAACAGATATTCTCCTGTTTCTATTATTCCTGGGCTTCCTACATCCTGGAGATTTCAATAATTTAATTATTGAGGTTGTTGAGTAGATAGAACCTCAGCCTCTTTTTAAATCTTGGTCTACAGCTTTCATACATATATTGAAATGTTCCCATCTTTGGCAAAGAAGGTGCCTTCAAATCAATGTTAGTTCCTAGTGACTGTCTAGACTAATCTCCACAATTTTCTTGGCAGGATTTTCAGAAGTGGCTTGCCATTGTCTTGGTCCAAAGCCATGCTTTACTCAGAGGGAATCTTGATTGACCATCTTGCATGAGGATGACTAGCAGGGATTCACTGTCTCTCCTTTTACATTTGATCTTTATCAACAACAAACATTTCTCTTTTTTGAGAAATGGTGGAAAGGGGCATCTTCCTTTCCTTCAATTCACGTGACCGTTTGTGTATCTTGTTGTATAGGTATCTTGTTGCCTTATCCATCTGCTAATCTTGCTTTGGACCTGATTATGCTTTTTCTCTATCTTGGAATTGAAGTCACAAGGATATTTTTTGGTAAGCATTAAAGAATACACAATGATATTTAAAGGAATAGCACATGCATTTGTCAGGTAAATATGAGCTGCTTTGATGGCATTTAAACTTACTAGATCTGTGATGGTGAACCTATGGCATGTGTGCCACAGGTGGCACACAGAGCTATTTGTGCGGGTATGTGAGCCCCAGCCAAACTTACCTGCGCTGCGCATGCGCGCACCTCCCAGCTGATTTTTGGCCCGTTTGAGGCCTTTTTCAACCTCCCAGAGGCTCGAGGGAAGCCTCTGCAACCTTTGGAGGCCAAAAAACAGGCCTGTTTCATCACTTCCGGTATTTCCGGAAATACCAGAAGTGATGAAATGGGCCCATTTTTTGGCCTCCAAAGGCTTCAGACGCTTCCCTCGAGCCTCTGGGAGGCCGAAAAAGGCCTCAAACGGGCCAAAAATCAGCTGGGAGGTATGCACATGTGCAGTGCAGGTAAGGGGGTGATGGCAGGGGAATTGCACATGCATGCGCAGGGGGCGGGGCCCCTTATGGGTGCTGGTGCATGCGCAATTTTCGGCACAGGAGCCCAAAAAGATTAGCCACCACTGTACAACATGGTCTCCCCTCCACATCTTCAGGCTGTTCACCAAATTGCCAGTAAATAAATCCTGACTCCTTAAGAACAACACATTTATGAGATGTTGACAAGTGATCCTAAGCAGATATAAATATATAGATGCTGGCAACATTCTCCTACTGTATATTGTGCCCAGGCCACGTTAATGGTCCTAGTCAACTGTGATAGTGCACTGTAGATGTGGATATCAGTGAACATCCCGTCTTTGTGTAGTTTGTGTTTACAATTATTTGGGAGTAATTACTGTAGGAACCATGATACAATTTGATATATGGGGATGGAACTGTAAGGTTTGATCAGTCAGGCTGCCCCTCTTGGTTGGTAACCATATGAAATCAGATTCTGAGAATTTGTAAAGTTCAAAACCCATTCTTTCATTTTAGGAGAGGTTATTTCTAATAGGTCATTTTCATGTCATGAAAGTGTATTGGGAGTAGGATAAGCAGAACACAGTGCTAGATATACTAACCTTCAAAACTTATGTGCCACTCCCCACACTTTCCTCTGTTGAGCGAAGTCTGAAAGAGAGTCCTGTTTGTGTTCAAATTAGGTTGCAGTATCTGAGGCATCATTGACCCAGATAAAACCAGGGGCAGAAAAAATTGTGAGGAGAGATTTAAATCCAAGTTAGCATGCATTGATGTGCCTTTCAGTGCTGCAGCTCAATTCTTTCTCTGGTACATTCTCTCATATGAATATCTTAAAGGTTTACTGGATTGTTTCCGACTTCTGCTTGAATGGTCCATGTGTTCTGTGTCCCATATGACAGGCTCCAAAGGTAACCTTTGCCAGCGAAAAGTGCCACTTGCTGTCAGCCTGGCGCTAACCTTTCCAGCAGCAGTGATGGCAGCCTATTACCTACTTTTGCAGACCTACGCCTTGCGTTTGGAAGCCATTCTGAATGCCATCCTGCTTTTCTTCTATGCAGTCGAGCTATTACTGGGCATTCTAACATTAGCCTCCTTTTCCAGGTAATTATCTTGTAAATCTGAGATTTATTGGGATAGCCAGTTTGGTCAGTAGTTAAGAAACTGGAATATAAAGCAAGAGACTGAATTCAAGTCCTGCCTAGACCATGAAAGCCAGCTGGGAGAACTTGGGCCAGGCACTTTCTCTCTGAGCTCAACTCACCTCGCAGGGTTGTTGTGGGGAAAATATGAGGAGGAAAACGCGTTGGATAGGTTCACTGCCTTGAGGCATTTATAAAAATAATAAAGGCAAGGTGTAAATAAACAATAAAAAATTAATCATTTTAATTATTGAAATCAAAGTTTTGGTTGTAGGTTGCCTTTACATTTTAAAGGCAATGATTGGTTTCCCTCCCCAGTGGCTTTGAAGAAAATATAATACTTCCTTATTTAGAACCCAATAGAAATTGTCTCCTTACACAATTTAGGAGAGAAAAATAAAAGTGCAATGATGAAGGAGGAAAGGCTATTGAGTATCTTGAAATAAGGATAAATGGTTGAGAATGACTGATCAATTCCACACGGCAGAATTGACAAGAACAAATGGGTAAATAAAGACCAAGTAAAACCAAATACAAGGGTTATAGCCATCTCAGCAGTATATCAAACTTCATCATAATGTATTGAGTCATATCAGAAATGAAGTCTTAGAACTGTTGAGGATTATTGAAGAATTGCATTTCACTGTCTTCTTCAGACTGGTGGCTGCAAACATTTTTGTCAGCACAGGAACTAGATTTGCTTTTTTGATTGGTTCTTATCTATTCTGGGTAAGGTAAGAAGTGTTTGGAGTGGTCATGACTATAATAATATCCTTATGTTACTTGTTTTATTTATTTATCCTTTCAGTTTGGATTCATATTGAGAATCTGTGATTGCACTATGTGAAACACTTTGTGATTAAGGGAAGTTGCATGAAACCATTTCCATGCCTAGCCCAGGATGAAGTTGGCAAGCTGGTTTCTTGGACAAGATGAAAGAAGATATAGTTCCAGTCTTTGCTTCAGGCATGCTGGGGTACTGCCCTGAGAGTAGAGTTTCCAATCCTAGACTGGATGGTCTAAGCACGTCCTCATCATCTTCCTTGTATCCCATCTTAGAGCATAACAATTGACCCACTTGGACTTGACGGCATTCAAGACTGATTTTTGCAGGTCTCAAGACTGTGGATATGGGAACTTCAGCCACTGCATAGATTTTGCCTGCAAGTGCTGTACACTTCAGATTCTTAAAATGGAAACATTCTGACACTGACTCAAGTCTTTACCCTGTGTACAATGACTCTTGTTAGGATGCCTTTGTCAATTCTATTTGTTACAGCCAATGTCCTGCTCTTAAGAGGGATGTCCATTCCCTAGAAATCAGTATTGTTATTGTAGTGTATTGGTAATTTGTGATTGATACTTGATTTTTTTCTACAATACCCTTGACATAAATACTTATTTTTCAACTATTGTATGTGATAGTTCTAAGTGAGAGATTTACTCAGCTTTCTCCTATCTTCCACCTACAACCAATGAAAGATACACCCACGCACGCACACACACACACACACATGCTATAGTGGCTGGGACTTTCAGTCATGTGTTTAAGTTCAAGGAAAATTTCGATTTAGCCAGGTTTATATGAAGGGGTCCTGAACTGGCTCAGCCCCAACAATTTAATTTCTTACCTTTCACACATGACTGGGTAATTTTTTTGTTGCAGTTGTTGATGTCATACTGCCCTTATTTTGCATTGAGGATGGGAGGAAACAGGGTTATTGTAATAGAGGTAGTCTTTGATTTATGACCACAACTGACCCAAAATATCCATTGCTAAATGAAATAGTTGTTAAGTGAATTTTGCCCCATTTTACCACCTTCATGGTTGCTAAGTGAATCACTGCAGTTGTTAATAAGCTGGTTGTTAAGTGAATCTGTCTCCCCCCATTGACTTTGCTTGTCAGAAAGTCACAGAAGGGGATCCCATGACCTTAAGATACTGCAACTGTCATAAATATGACTCAGTTGCCAAGCATCTTAATTTTGATCACATGACCATGGGGATGTTGCAACGGTCGTAAGTCTGAAAAATGGTCATAAACTGCTTTTTTTCAATGCTATTGTAACTTTGAACAATCACTAAGTCAAAGCTGTAAATCAGGGACTACCTATACCATTTCGGACAAATAGCTGTCCAAGGTACTTCGAATATCTTTGGTAATAATATTAATTGTTATTGTTGAAGTGCATCTTCAGGTTCAAATTTGTTTTGACTGACTGATTGATCATGGGCCATGGAGTCATTTTTGACCCCTAACGACTACATAGATTTTCTCTGGGATGATGTATCCTTAAGAGAAGCCCTTAAATGAGACACACAGCAGAAGTTTAATGGAGGTCAGAACCTCTCAATAATGGAACAGAGTTGCATTTGATGCATCAGTAGACCCAGTCCATACTCGGCCTCCTTGATCAGCCACAAGATATTTGTTGTTGGAAGCCTTGACTATGAGACAGCTGGAGGATACAAACTGTAGGCTGAAATTGCTAGGACGGTCACTGGTTACCAGGATTTGCCCATCTTTATCCAAGGCCCAATATCTGCCACCTAGCAGAGTTAGTGGAAGGAAGGTATAAAATTAGGGAAAGACAGAGGCAAGACCAATCAAGCTGTTCTATTTTCTTGATTTTTAAGGATATTCCGATGATTAAAGGAATCATAGGTTGCAGTTGTGTTTCTTGTAATCGCCAGATTTAATCTAAAGATAAGAGGGCAACCTTTTGGGGCCTCATTTCTGGCTAGAGTGGGAACTACCCCCATCCTTAGCAAGACTTTGCTGTTTATCAGAATACTTCTTGCTAAGGAACATCTTTCAATCTTGAGATTTCAGTAATCTTATGCAAGATTGCTGGGAAAGAGTTTGGGAGGCACTAGTTCTGAGAACTAAAATTCTGAGAACTGAAGCTTCTTGGATGAGAAGTAAAACATTTTCAAGAAAAAAAAAAGCAAGGAGATCCAGTTGTCTTTTGAAAAAGCACCTTTGGGACAACCATAACCTGAATGATTGAGAATTTCCATAGATACTAACTTTCATCTTTCTGCACCCCTGGCAGTCCTAAGGAAGAACATTTAATGCCCAATGCTAAAATTGTGGCTGAACTTTAAGGATCTTCACTGGTAAAATTTGAGGACTATATAATTGGAAAATATGAACAACACTTAGCTAAATATTTAAGCAAACATAAATGCCCCAGAAAATGCCTTACTTTTTTCTTTTTTGGGGGGGGGGGGGAAGAAGCATAGTGGCAAGATCATTTCCTATCTTCCTTCAAATTAGGGTAAAGGAAGTGGGGATATGTTATGGCCTTGATTCCATTTATCTCTATGGAGCTTCCTTCTATCACCTGGCCAGGCTAGAGGAGTGTATGTGTGTGAAATAGTAGTACTGTGTGTCAGATTTCCTCCTAATGCAGATCATCGGGGTCTCTGTTGTAAACTAGCTTAATCAGCTATAATATACTAACCGATTTGGAAATTATAGTAGCCTTCCTCACTGAGTGACAGGCTGCTGAGCACGTAGTCAACACAGTTCCCTTCCAACCGCCTCATGTCAGAACTCAGACCAACATAACCAGCATCACTGTGCAGGATCAGTAGAGGCCGGTTCACCAGAACTAGCAGGAAATCTTCACTTTTACCTGTAAGTGCAATATAATCCTCTTGATATTGTTCATCTTGGTTTGCAACCACCTGCTGGTATTTGCTAAAATGCCTTTTACCCACCAGTTAAAAATACCCAAAGTACCAAAATAAGTATCTTAGGAAAGTTGTCTGTTGGGACTGTTTGGTTTGATAGTTCCTTCCTCTGGTCTTCCTAATACAAACCATAACATTGACACTGGCCTAGAAATCATTGGGTGTTCACATTTCAAAGGCACTTGTCCTCAGACCAGAGGTGGTATTCAGCAGGTTCTGACCAGTTCTAGAGAAACAGTAGCGGAAATTTTGAGTAGTTCGTAGAACCGGTAAATACCACCTCTGACTGGCCCTGCCCCCATCTATTCTCTGTCTCCCAAGTCCCAGCTGAACGGCTGGGTCTTCTTTTGTTGTCCTGCACAGGAGAACGGAGCTGAAAGCAGGTTAGTAGGGTGGGGAAGGAATGGGGATTTTGCAGTAATCTTCCCTGCCACGCCCACCAAGCCACACCCACCAAGCCACACCATGCCCACAGAACTGGTAGTAAAAAAAATTGAATCCCACCACTGCCTCAGACGTTTCACCATAATTATTTTTATGCATCTAGTGCACTTGCTCTATTATCAAACAATAACTTGAAAGATATTTCTGCTAAAAGTATCCAAACACAATTTGGGGAAGGGGAATGACACATCCCAAGGCTAGCTGACATCTTGTAACCTACTCCAAGAACGAAGATGACCCAGGTCCTACTGTTTTACAGGGGCTACGCCATTAAAAAAAGCCCAGGGCTCGGTTGCCCGTGTTACTTTTAAATCTAAGATCAACCTAGGATTGTGATCCATGAACTTGGTTGACTGAATGGGTTTAAAGAGAGGGAAAGGCATATCGCTGCTTCTTATTAACAATAGCAATCATCAGTTTAAGAAGAGCTCTCATTTTATAAGCTCAGCCCTAACATTAATTTTCATTTGGCCATCTGTGGTTTCTTCTCCACAATTGCCCATATTTTAATATTGCCCACGCTGAACCCATCTAATTACAATGAAAGCTACTGACCAACTTATACCTGCAGCTTTGGGGACTGCAAGGAGCTGTCCGTTGGGCCGCATAGACACATACTTGTCTCCCATGTGAAGCAGCACCTTCTGATCCTGATACTGGAGTTCAAACCAAACATTTTTGTCCTGTTTGGTGCTGCTAATGATGCAGTCATTGGGTCCCTGCAGGAGAAAGAGCGGCTTTATTGGTAAAGGAAATTCTGCCTTACCCAATCTAGAAAAAACATTCCCAACCCTGAGGTTGAAACTTAACTTTCAATCCTAGCTGTTTGGCCTTGCATTAAAAATGCTGATTTTACATGTCAGTCTGTCTCTCTCTCTCTATATATATATATATGTCAGGACCCAGCTCCAAATTCAGTTACTGTAAGCTGATTGACGATAATGGCTATATTTCCATCACAGTAACCTGCAATACATTTGATTTACCTACTGTGTTGTCCAAATCTAGAACTTTAATCTATTTGAGTCTGACCTTAGTCATGACTTTCATGATTTCATTGCTATCAGGACATGATCTTGTATAGCTTGGCTCAGAGTGTTGGCTTTATACTTTGTGCTAATCTATTACGTGGTTTGACAGTTTTTTTGTTTAACCTGTTGCATGAACCCAGAAATTGTGGTCTATGTTAGTGTATTGCACGATCTGGCCTTTGTGCTACTATGCAGATATACTGTGAGTATATCTACAGTATGTATTAGAACTGTCAATCAAAGAATGGTAACATAGGGTGCAGTCCCCAACCCCCGGAAACTGGTCCATGCAAACAAACGAAGCCCCTTCTGTGGAATGAAGGCAACATGTGAATCCACATCCCCTCCGGTCCATGGAAAAACCTCTCCATAGAACTGGACCCCGATGTCCAAAAGGTTGGCAGTCACTGACATTGGGCATTACTTCCTAGTTTAAGTTCAGCTCTGGATGGAAAGACATTTTTGAGAGAAACCTCAAAGTCCCGGTCCTAGGAAAACCTTGATCTGTCAGAGTGACAGGTTTTGGAATAAGGAATTAGTTGTACCCACAATGTTAGCTATTAGCAGCCACATTGCTGTCAGAATGTACTGTAAAGAAGTCGATCTAAAGTGCAATCTTAACGGAATTTGTTTACAACTCTTTTAAAATGAGGTAATAAAAATTAATCTGATTCTTCGTTCAAACATTAAAATAATTTATTTATATTCCCCCAGAAATAATAGAGGGGAAAAAACAATTTCCAAATCAGAAAAGTGTTTTGGTGTAGCAGCATAATTAGTAGATCCTTTTGGGAACTGCCTAGATTATTGAGATTAGAGAACCATTAAAGGACAGTTATGCCTGTTATGGTGTGCCACATATATGCAAGATACCTCTCTTATCTCAGAATTTCTTGAGGTGGCAGAGATCTAGGATGTTTTCAACATCTGGTTTCCATACAGTAGCAATTTTATGATTGCTTTCATGAAACTCAGACAAAAATAGCTCAGTCTCCCTTATTGACATTTAAAAGGAATTCTGGGTTCTGGGATACGCAATTGTGTTACTTAATTGAAATTATAATTGAGCATTCATGTGGAGAATTTGAATAGTATAATCTGACGAACCAATTGTGTGAGTAAAGGTAGTCCTTGGCTTATGATTACAATTGGGACCGGAATGTCTGTAGCCAAGTGATTTGGGGGAGGGGGAGGGTTAAAGCACAACATCAGGTGATTGTATCACTCAGCGAAAGCAATCCTGGAGTTCGGTTCCACTTGCCATTGCACCTCCAGATGTGGAGATCATTAAGCTGGAAGCAGAAGGAGTCCCAATAAGGAGCTCGTGGGGGCTGCAAGGAGGTGGGGGAGGACCAGGGAGGACCAGTGCAGGCCATTCATGAGTTGAGGGGGTCCTGCAGTATAGCATAAGCAAAGGAGGGCAGAGAAAGAATACATTGCAGCTCAAGGGCTTCTTTGTATCCCATGGGCCTGTGGCTGCAAGTGTTGTGGTCCTCCAGCAGCCTGCGGAGATGGCAACAGAGTTGGACATAGACCAGTCCGCAAGTCTGGGGAGGACCTAGGGCCATCTGGGAGTTATGTGCTGACTCCAGAGCCTCCAGAATCTGACAACAGCGAGGCAGAGGAACAGGGGGAGCCTGTTACCAGTGCATGCATGCGCAGAGCTGTCAGAAGGCAAGAACAGTTAAGACAAAAGGGGAGACTCGGGAGTAAGGCTTGGAGATGATTGGCCCTCCAATGAGATATAAAGGAAGAGCAAAGGGACAGGAACCTTTGCAGGAAGCAACTTTGTTCGTGCTGGTCAGCTTGAAACCTGAAGCTCTGTGTTGAATTTGTGCTCCAATTGGCCTTGTATAACTAATTGGAAATTTAGTCATTGGCAGAATTTCAAGGAAAATAAAGGTGCGTGCTTATCAGACTTATCCTGAAGGACTTTGGCAGACTTCCATGGGACTATTATAAACTGTTTGAGACTCATTACGGGCTGTGAATGACTAAAATTCACAGCCGTTGAAATAAAAAGGGTTTGGGGACTAACGTGTGTTTGTTAGTGTCTCAATAAGCCTTGGTCAGAACAGCAAGAAGCTCCTGAGTAACAGTGCAACATGAAGCTACAGCCATCCCTGGAAGCCATGGCTGCCCCAACTAGCTCAGCAGCACAGCGCAAAGCCACCACGCCCTGGGAAGTGTTAAAACACCTAGGAAGTCCCAGGTTTTCCCTAATCCAGTCACCCACACTGCCCGGCACTCCGAGACCTCCTGGTGCCTTGCACTCCACCACCTGTTGACTTCATCCTACTGCTGAAGAGACAAGGCCACTCGTGGCCCTTTCTGATGCAGCTGTTGGCCATACTGGGCCTTCTGCCCAAGGACTCTGGTACCATTTCCCAAAAGCACATGGCCTTGTACAAACTACATGCAGCCTTCTTCTGAGGCTTTGGAAGGCTTCCAAGCCTTGTGGGGAGGGCATTCACAATTTGGACATGCAGTCTTTGGAAGGCCTGATGCAGTCAGCAGCTGCCTGCCAGACAGGGCATGCTTGATTAGCAATGGAAGCAAGAAGACAATGAAGGCCAGCTAGAGCTGCAGGGGCTGTGGAGCACAGAAGGCCAAATGGCATAGATTGCAGGGAGGGAGATGGTCAGGTGGGAGAGCTGAAGTGCTCCTGTGGACAAAATGCAGCACAGGCTGCCAAATGCCCAAGTTTTGATCATGTGACCACAAGAGGGCTGCATTGGCCATAACTTCAGGGACCAGTCCATTTTTTCAGCACTGTTGTAACTCTAAACTGTTGTTGAATGAATGGTTGCAAGTTGAGAAGGATCTGTAAAGCAAGGAAGGAAAGGCGAACTTCTGACAATGCCTAGCTTTTATTCCAAAAGGGCAAATGTCGTGGCATGCTTAGTAACAGATTGAAATAGCTGGTCTTTCCCAGACTATCCCCATTCTTGCATTATGCAGATGGACTCACCAAGGACATGTATATGCCACTATGGCCACGGAAGCAGACCTTCTTTGTAGCATCATCATACATCAGCTGGAAGATCTCTGTGTTGCCTACAGCCATTGCAGTGGCATAGAGGTCAGCACCTGCAGAACAGTAAAGCAAATTGAAGACTCATTATGGTTTTAGCCCAATAAATTAAGACTGTTGTCCCTTGTTGTCTAAAGTCAAGCTAAAGCAGTGCTCAACTGTATTGCAAAAGGATAGGAACAAGAGAACAGGTAAAGAATTTGTAATACTTCCACAATCCTTTCCTTCTCAGGAAAACCCTAATGACCTGATCTTCATGACCTTCTCTTGGAACCTGTATTGCTTAAGTTAAGCAAATTTTTAGATGTATCACTGGATTGATCAAGCCATTGTCCTTTATATACATTTCTCAGCATGGAATCTGAATGGTGCAATCATAGTACAAATCTCCATGGGCAGCAAAGAAAGGGGGAGAAAGGGGGGATTTCTGCCTGCTGCTTTCTCAAACTATTTTACAGTACTCTTTAGGATTAAATCAAATCTGCTTTAAATCCGTTTTATTTCAGTGGATCACTGAATGTCTGAATCCAACCCAATATTGCTATTATGACACCTAGCTAGATGCTTGGATTATGTGTGGTCAAATCTATCATTCAGTTTTTACAGAATCTTTGAATTGTAGGCTTAAAGGGAACCACAAACATCATCTAATCCAGTGTTTTCCAAACTTGGCAACTTTTAAGATGTGTGAACTTCAACACCCAGAAGCCTGATGATTGGGGAATTCTGGGAGCTGAAATTCAGACATCTTCATGGCACGAAGTTTGAAAAACACTGATCTAATCCAGGCCTTTGCAATGTGCAGGGAAATAAACCATGAAATTTCCCTTTTGTTTTTATTTTTTCCCTTGCTCTTAAAGCTGCCTGGTGACATAATAATTAGTAACAATCCACACTCAACCAATCTTTGCCCTCTTGCTTTGGGTCCCCCCCCCAAATTGCTTTTGTAAGATCTCTGTATTTTTGCAGATTTGGGGGCTGTACTTGTTCCCAGGGCGAGAGAGTAATGGAAAAATAAGGCAAAATAAGAAGTTACTCTTAGAGGCTATGGTTAGAGGTTCAATTGCCATGATTGCCACTCATATTTAGACAGACAATGTTGTTTTTGCTCAACTCACCAGGCTTGCAGCAGACGAACTTGTTGGTAGAAGAGGAGCGCAGTGAAACTTGGGCAGGGCTTGTTTCCACGCTGAAAAGTTCATCCCGTCCAGGTCTGTCCATCTTTAGGGTTTTCATGCTACCCTCTCGCCCAGTCAAATACTTTCCCTCATCATCCCGGAAGGCAACCAAGCCACCATGGACTTCCAAAGAGTACATGGTTTGTGCAGTAACGTCAGATACCAGTGAACCATTGGAAGCTAAGAGTTTACCTGCCCCATTTCTCAAGCCATACTTCTTCACTGGAGATAGAGCAGGAGAAAGAAACAAAAAGGGGTTGACAGGGCTTGGTATTCAATCCTGGAAAATAATCTCAAAATGAATGTCTGCAAAGCAGCGCTGCAACTTTTCATTTCATTCTAGAATTACAGCAGAGGTTTTCAACATGCAGCCCATTTCCAACATCTTTGTTCTCACCACCTTTGAATTAGCCCAGTTTCCCATAACTATAATCTACTACTGCATACATTTTTTTGAAAATCAGGTTTAAAGTCCAAAATGAACTGTTCTAAGTGAACTTCTATTCACTTTCTTAGAGGAGGATTTAAAACTACTTATACTGGGATTGCTTTCTGTGCAGTACTAAATAGTTCTCTCTTAGATTGGTTTGTTTCCTAGTTCAATAGCTGAAATTGTCTAGATCTTTTTTACATACAAAACCTACTTTCTGTTTTCCTTCTACCAAAGAATCTCTGCATCTCATGAAGGTTGGAAAGAGTTTTCATTTTAGCGGTTCAAACTCATATTCACCCATTTGTAGAGATATGTTTCTAGAGATGTTTTAAGAAATCAGATTCCAACATACAGTGTCTCATCCAAACAATATTCTCATCTTATCTAGAGAGCTCTGAATTTTTTCCATCTTGGTTTCCAACTTAGAAATGGTTGGTCTTGAATCTAATGCAGAACATCTATCTATAATGAGACATTTTGGGGTTGGAACATTTCAACCTTGAAATATTTTGCATGCCTTTGTTTTTCTCTTCCCAACACTTGGGAGAGCTTTGCTATACCTAAAATAGCCTCTTAAATAATCTGCATGCTTGGAGACTTGGGGCCAGTCAATCTAAGAATGGAAACTTGTATAGTCATGACATTAAATAACATCTTTGCACATCCCTCCCATTTTTCTACTTTTTAAATATCTTGTCTGATAAAGAATGCTTGGAAATATTATGGCTTGCAACTATAATGTACATTCTTCAGTCAGTCTAAGAAAGATACTGTCACCTTGGTTTTGTTTTTGTTTTGTGGACAATATGGCTTGGGTTTTTTTTAATATATATATATGCTTAGTAAAAGTATATTTTTGAAGAAATGTTTTTGTTTTGTTTTGTTTTTAACTTTGTCCCCAGTTTAGATGTTAAAATTATATCTGTTTTCTTGTCAATCTTGTTTTCTTTACAGTACTGTATTGAGGCTTTCTATGTATAGATTCTTATTGTAACTAAATACTATAGCCCCCAACTCCAGTAAAATCAGATGCATAAAGGCACATAGTCTGAGCTAGGAACTGGAAATTAATTTTCACATCACTGTTCATGGCTAGGTTGTCCTCATGTGTACTATAAAGTAGGACTATATGGACTGCCTTTGACAGAAAGAAGAATTTGAAGTGAAAAGAGGACTAGATATTTTTGCAGTGTATTACAAAGATGATTGAAGTTTTCCCTGGTGAACATATTCAGTGGCTTCAGTGCAGTGCTTATACTGCTGTCTCATTGGAATTATCCAAGTTACCTAGCAAATTAAGGAAATCAAACTGCACTATCCATAGTGATTTCCTGGGTAAGCAGAATTTGAATTCACCTGGTATATATGGGGACAATTGCCTTCTGTCAGCATTGTGTGCCTTGGAATCCAGACCTATTGAGGAGATGCAAATGACTTAAACTTAACTTTTTCACATATTAAAACAGAGGATTATTTTAGGAATTTGTCTGACTATCTTAATAGCTTTTGGGTAAGATATTAGCAGATATGACAATGTTACTCAAGCATGATCATCATTCTATCTCTTAGCCTTCGTCATTATGATGCTCCCTAGGTATGATTGAAATACAATATAATTTCCCCTCTTAATTTTCTTTTCTCCAAGACAAACATACCCAGCTTTCTTTTCTAACAGGGCTTAATCTCACTTCTAGTTTCTAGTCTTTAAAGGAGGTGAATGAGAGGGAACATAATAGCGCTGCACAGAATGATACATGGTGTGGATAAAGTGGGCAAGAAGAGTCTATTTTGCCTTTCTGAAAATACCAGGCCAAAAGTCATCCAATGAAATTGAACCTTGGAAGAAGTAGGATCAATAAAACATTTTTTTTGCAACAGGTAAGTAAACTTTGGAATTTGTTGCTATGAGACGTGATGCTGCCTCAGGGATTGGACCAGTTCATGGAAGTCATGGGGATCAATTAGCTTTGAAGGCACTGTAGTTGCCTCAGAAGGCCAACTGATGGGAGATTGGTGGGCTTCCCTATGCAGATAGTCTAGCGGATGGGCCAGGGATCCAGTCCAACAGATTGCTGCTCAAGCTGATACGTTATATAAGCCTGTTCATCTAAATAATTCTTAAAATATGGACCTACAACCAGATATAGTATTTCAAATGAAGTTTGATGTGCAGAATCCATGATTTGTATTTCTATTGATGCATCCTAAATTATTTTGCCTTTCTGATAATCATGACAGATCCTTTCTCGTATGGAAGATTATCAAAACAGATATTACCTACTCTACATCTATTCATTTGATCTTTTTCTTAAAAGAAGAAATTGTCATTTGTTTCTATTCAATTTCACGCAGATTTAGCCCCTCCCTAGCCTATCAGTATTATTTTTTAATTTTATCTTTTAGGCAATTGGTTATCTCACTTAGGTTTCTTTTGGTTGCAAATCTGGTAAGCACACTGTTATTTGAGAGACCATCTATCTCTAGTAGTTTCTGTCCACCTAATAAGACTGGGCAGAGCGGGCACTTTCCAAGTTTGTTGTTTTAAGCAACACCATCTATTGGAACCTAGAAAGTGTGTCTTTGTTATTGTGGCTCCTGCCCTCAGGAATTGCATCCCCTGGAGATTCATAAGGCTCCTACGCTTGCAGCTGTTCCACTGGCCTTGCTTGTGGAACTTGGCTTTGCTCCCAGGATTGCAGTTAGGGTAACTCTGGGTCCTCTGTAAGTTTTCTTTTGATATGTTAAGTTTCCTCTTCCCAATGAACCTGTCTTTTTTATTTCATTCTGTTGTTTCCTACTTTTGACATGTAAGCCACCCAGAGGTTTCGAGAGTTGGACAACCTCTAAATCTGATAAATAAATACATAAACAAACAAATAAATTTGTTCAACTATTCATTAACAGTGAAGACTGCATGATAAACATTTTGTAGATGTATATAAATGAGGGTGAAGGTTCATTGTCCAAGCTTGTGGGCTGGTTTCCGAATGTTTCATTACCAGGCTAGGTAATATCTTCAGTGGAGTTTAGGGGAAACTCCCCTAAACTCCACTGAAGAAGATGTTATCTAGCCTGGTAATGAAACATTCGGAAACCAACCCACAAGCTTGGACAATGAACCTTCACCCTCAACCTATACCCAAGCTACAAATATTTGCCCCTATTGCAAATGTATATAAATGTAATTTTTGAGTCAACCACACACATACTTAAAACACTTCGTTAATCAGAATATAGGGTGTTTTATCAGTTGCTTTGCTGAAGTCAACATATATTATAATCATGGTATTCCCACAATCCACTAATGAAGGTACCATATAAAAACTGATAAAATTAATCTGACCACAAATCCCTCCTGATATGCAATAATCACTGCATTATTTTCAAAATGTTTACAAATTGATTTACAAATTTACAAATTCTACAAAAGAAATACACATTGACAGATTTCTAAAATAATCTGCTCTAGAACGTTCCCAATAATCAATTCCAGACTGACTGGCCTGTAGTTTCTTGGATCCTCCTTTCTCTCTGCAGTTCCTTCTATAATATACTATGATGCAATCTGTCTGTCTCTGAAGATTTTTTTATTCAGGGTCATCAGACCGTGATTTTTTTTCTATTAGCATCAAGGTGGTATTCTGCTCCTTAATTCTGATTTTCAAAATTGCCCATTATCCTTTTTGTAGAGAAATTAAAGGGTTGCTTGATTTTTAAAAAAGGGACAAAATCTTGAAGCACCAGGAGGAAAATGTAAGGAATCATAAGGGAAAAGAGTAAGGTGAAGAAATGACCCTACATTTTCAATAAGTTGATGATTGCTTCTAAGATCTACATGAGTATTCCTGTGCTACAACAACAGTACAAAGTTTTAAAGTAAACTTGATTCTGAAAAGTTTTCAAAATTATATTGGCAATATTCTAGATAGGAGAGAAATGTTGGATTGTATATCATCAACAATCACATCACAGAAGAATGTTAATATGGAAGAAATCTTTAAGAGATGAGCAAACCATTATTTTTCTATAATTTGCTAGACACAATGTGGTCTAACACAAAAATGTTGAAAATATGTATTTATTTAATGCTCAACTTCATGTCCTGCCCCCTTGGTGTTTTATTTTTATCAGGTTCTTGGAAACTGTTGGAAAGGTGGTCATGAATTGGCCCCAATTCAGCTCATTTTTTCCAAATTATATCTAATCTAATTCTTGTTTATTCAGGCAACTCTTCAACTCAGTGAGATACCTTTGCAGTAAATACATTTAGGATACTACCTTAATGTAGATTTATGCATGTAGCCTTTATGTTTGATATTGTAAGATGTACTTCATTTTAGACCAACCACTATTAAAAAGAATTCAGTGTATTTTATCTCAGAATTCAAAGTTGCACCCTGCTTCTTGAGACAGTTTCAAGCGTTAGTTTTAGGACAGCTGCCTATGTTGGAAATGAAGCAAAGTTATCTATGAACCAGTCCTATCTATGTATCCCACTAGATGTTGAACCACCTTAAAGAAGAGATATAAAGAAGACTCTGGACTTCCAAAATTCCTTATTCATAATGAATACATCTAAAATCACTTTTCCCCACCTTTGAAATCATAGTAGATACTGATGACTGATTCTGCCCCCCAAGGCACATCACGATCACAGCGCAGTACCTCAGCTTTCTCATCACAACGCACATAACGCTTCCTGTTGGGGTTGTAGATCGCAACGTTGGGGTGCACTGCCAGGTGCAGGGTCCATTTTTCTGTTTCACTGGAAGCCTGGGCAAAGCAGGTAACATTGTCCTCTGCTCCACCCAGGAAACGCTTGGACTGCTCATTTTGCAGAGACACCTGCCAGGAAAGAAATGTCACCATGTCAACCTCATCAGACAAGGGGGTGGAGGTGGTGAATGAAACACTAAGAATGAAAAGCTAGAACGGCTCTCCAGGTATTACTAAATGTCAGTTGCAGCATTGCATTGCATACCATGGGTCCTAGAGAATGTGTATTTATCTGAAACATGCCCTTCAGCAACTCCACATCCCATGGCACATCCTGGTCAGCAGACCCTTCTGCTGGAAAGATCCAGATTCTTTTTTTACCAATATACTATAGCTGAACAGCATATTTTAGATAGTAAGAACAAAATATGTATTTGGTCCGCTAGCTGTTTTATTAAGGATTTTTGGTGAGGGTTGGAGGGAAGTATACGGTATGCCCTACAGTAGGACATTGAAAGCTACCAACTTGATTTATGTAGGTTCAGACAGAGAATCAACTAGTTCCCAAGCACTGCACACTTTTAGCTTCTGCCACTTGTAGAGAACAATGGATTGCAACCATAAGAAGCCCACCCCACCCCCCACCCCCGAGCAAACAACTCTCCATTTTCTTTTTCTTTCTCCCCATTCTTTCCTTCTCACCCTTTTACCCCAACCCAGTCCCACCAAATCCTCTCTAAATAGCACTGGACATAACCAGGCTGTAATTCTGTGGCTTGGGCTATATAATCAATAGGTGTGTTTGGCTCCAGTTGACTGCACCTTGCCATCTGGATACTGATGCAGCAGGAAGAAGGTCTGAGGCCCTGGTTTATCCTGGTCACAGGTGACTTTGCCATTTGGGTCAGCTGCTAAGTAGCGTTTCAGGGCACTGATAAGATGAACTTTCTGGGCAGCCCCTTCTCCTGGGCCAGCTGCTCCAGCTCCATGTGGGGTCACAAATTGCAGCACCCACACCTGGCGAGGCTTCAGTTGCTTGCCTGTGGCTGCCACCTGGAAACGGAAAGGTTCGGCAGTCAGGTATCTGTTTGCAGCATTGACAAGTCCAAACTCCAGGGAGTATGTCATGGTGGAAAGGCTCAAATGGCACCAATTCTTCAGGCCGACTAACTGCTTGGCCTACTTGAGACTGTGTCTGATGCACAAGATCATAATGGATGCCTAGCAACTAGGTAAACCCAACCCCCTTAGAACTAAGCCCCACCCATAGAAGTCCATTACTCAGGCTATGTTCTGAAAGCATGACATCATCACTGATTGTAGACAGCACCCTTTTATGGCAAACCAGAGCCTTAGTGGAACACTGTTCACATACAGTAAGATAGCAGATTTTCTTTTAGCCGTTTGCTTTGGTTTAAAGCAGGGGTGTCCAACCTTGGCAACTTTTAAGACTTGTGGACTTCAACTCCCAGAATTCCTCAGCCAGCTTTGCTGCCTGAGGAATTCTGGGAGTTGAAGTCCACAAGTCTTAAAGTTGCCAAGGTTGGACACCCCTCGTTTAAGAGCTTCTTGTATGCAAGGCATTCTACCCTTTGGCAAAAGCTTGTTCTCTCCTAGCAGCTCACTAGACACAGGACCACCAGTTGCCCAATGTGAATTGGAAGTTACTGGCAGGGATCCTTCAGATCTCTCACTCTTTATAAAGAGGTAGTGAAGTACAAACTTTTACAGTATGGCAAAATATGTCTTATGCCCAGTTTATAGCAATCCCCCAATAATGTGAATTTTCCTGTGAAATATAGGCGTGTAGTACTAGCAAAAGCACTTAGACTTATATACCGCTTTATAATGTTTTACCGCCCTCTCTAAGCAGTTTACAGAGTCAGCATATTGCCCCCAACAGTTTGGGTCCTCCTTTTACCCACCTTGGAAGGATGGAAGGCTAAGTCAACCTTGAGCCTAGTGAGAAATTGCAGGCAGCTGGCTGCAGCAGAAGTAGCTTACAATACTGCACTCTAACCAGTGCGCCACTGAGGCTCTTAGGTACATCCCCTGCTCTAGCATGTTTTCCTATGTCTAAGGCAGGACTGTCAAACTTGCGGTCCATGGGCTGGATGTGTCACATGCTGACCACGCCCACGCCTGGTTTAGCAAAGGGAGAAAAGTCACGATATGTCATGTGACGATGCGAGTTTGACACCCCTTGTCTTAGGTAATCAAGACTACCCAAAAACAATCATGACCAAAACCTAAATGTAAGTAAAGGCACCTTCCGCACCTCCTCCCTTACTGGAATTATTAACTTTAACCAGAAGTCAATACTCTCAGGGATTTTGTCAGTCTGCAGTATGATTAGTTAAATATAATGATGAGATAGAAGTTTTATCTTTTAAAAAGGCATTTTAATTTTTGTACACAAAGTGGTTTTTGAACTAGTTTAGCATTACATAAAGCCATGGTTGTACAAGGGCTAGCACCCAGCTAGAACATGGCACCTGCCTTATTTATACATCTTCACTGACGTATCTAAATCACATTTAGCCCAATCCCTCCCTCTACAATCTTTTTTTTTTTAATGGAGATTTCTAAAAAAACAACTCACCCTCCCTTTTAAAACTTACAAAAGGAAAAGAAACAATACAATGCAGTATAAAAGATTGACAATATCATCAAGTTTATTACACAATTTTCAACCTATCAGAAAAAGACAAACAAATCAAATCACGAAGAACAGGAGTGGGAGAGTAGAAGGGAACTGAAGTTATGTTTTCTGTTTTTCTTCTTCTTTTTTCTTCCATTATTTCAAAACAAACTAAAAATGTCCCATTAGGTAAAAAGCAACTTTTCCAATCTGTATTGTATACTTTACAGTTTTAGCTCTCTCCGCTAAAATTACATTAACTTTTTGTTTCCTTTTAAAAAAAAACATTGACCTTAGACTCTCTTAGATCAATAGCACAAAGGAGGCATCATATCCCTTGGTGACAGAGTCATCCTCTTTAATCTATCCAATTGTTCTCTTGAGAAAAAGACAGATCCTTCTATGAGGAGGGCTTCACCATGCAGTTGGATACTCACGATATAATAGATGCTTGGTCTTACTAAAGAAATCCAGGGTATGTAACTTGATTTTGTGTAACTGGGGTGCTAGGATGGAGCACTGAAAACCAAAATGCACATCTCAAAAAGTTATATTTCAAAGATGACACTTGAATCAAGATTTCTGCAGCCACTGGTTTTCCATAAGGATCCTCATGTAATGTGTTTCTGCTTTCCATTGGTTGCCAGCCGAAAGGCTCATTGGATCCAGGAATCCTAGTTCTATGTTTACATAATAAGAATTTAACTTTGTTCTTTTCCAAGGCTGGCATACCAGAGACCACTAAGGTTTTATTATGTCACTGAAGCAAACGTGTGAGTGAATCCCATCAAAGGGAAAATTCCAAATGAGATTGGGAGCAACGGTAGTTTTGGACCTTAATTCAACACTTACATCACACAAAATTTAAAATGCTCAAGGTGTGCTCGAATCAATAATGTCCAGAAGCCTCAGCTTGACTTTGCCCCAATTCCATGTTTCTGTATCTAGTCATAACTCTTCCTCTACAACAAGGAAGGTGATATGCTGGGAAAGAATGGCCTTGAAAACAAATGCTTGTGTAAGAAATTACAATCAGAGCAGTTAATGCACGAAACAAAGCAAGGAATTTGTCAATAAATCACCTGTGGATAGAGTTCCTGCAGTAGCGAAAGGTACCTTTATTTTTTTAAGAGAGACTCAATTTTGTGGGCAAGTTTAACAGTACAGTCCCTCCTAAAAGACATTAGGTTAAATTGGTATGACAATTTTCAGGAATTAAGAAGAGGCATGACTGGAAGCAGCAACTAGCCTGTTCTCATCCCAGAAAAGGAAAACAAAACTTTTCTAAGCTGTGTACAAAGCTGTTAGAGTGCAAAACTGAAGCTGCTTTGGAAAAAAGGATCAAAAATTCAGGAGGACTCTATGCACTGATGCCTAAGAAGACAATGCAGTTTGAATTTTGAACATAAACTCCAGTGAGGCTATGGTAATATACCTTGTGCTGTGCTGAAGCATGAGGTCTTCCTATAGGATAAAAGCTGGATGTATTCCTCCAGGGGTGTTTCTAAAACGCCATGGAAAGGAAAGAGGTGACAGACCTCTGTGGAAAGCACCATTCTCTTTGGGTCCAAGAATCCATGGATTGAAATGGCCCCCTGGTCACAGTGGCTCAGACAACCCCTCCCAAACTCCAAGTCATTCAGTGTTCCTCCATCAAGCGACAGCAGCAGCAGCACACTTAGGAAGAACTCAAGTCTTAGTGCCATAGTGTGCCAAATGGAGTCCTACAGGCAAAGTCACTTCCAAGGGGTCTGGAAAGAGCAGAGGGCAGCGGGAAGGAGTAGGTGGAGAATCCCCCATCCTTTAGTCTTGATTAAGGACAGGATATAAGTCCATAAAAACACTGAATGCTTACAGCATCCCTGCAAAAAAAGAAAGGAACATAAAATATTACTCACTTTTAAAGGCATTTTTGAGAGCATAGTTTAGAAAAGTGCAATTCCAAGAGTGAATTCCTATATACAGAGGGAATTGAAAATTGTGGGTTGTTTTAGAGCACAGTTGACCTGGACTAGGATTTGAAGCCAGATTTATTCTGCCACTGAATTATATAAACCAGGCATAATCCAACTACTTTCTTCCCATCACAGAATAGTACCTACCAAAAAGGACCCCCTAGTCTTATGCAACTATTCAGAAACAGGTGGAAATCAAAAGGTTGTAGTTTAGTGTTGTTGTTTTTGAAGTGTCCAATTCCCTTTAACCCAGAGCAGATTACAGTGGAATAAAATCGATTAAATTTGAGATTTATTTTTTTTTAGAAGAAAATATTTTACTAGTATTTCCCCTTCTGAAATAAGATATGAATTTAGGCATATACTTCACCCAGGAAAGAACAAAGCAGATTCTGCACAAATGTACTTCAGGATTTCCTTCTTGTTTAAGCAGTTAAATTAGAAGCTCTGGTCTGATTATCTACAGCAGTGCTGGATAATCCTTTGGGGCCCAAGGGCCAACAGTTGGCTTTCCTGCCTTGCCTTGGGGTCACAGGGGGCATGGCCAGCAATGTGGTCATTTTCCCTGAAAAAAAAAACAAAACAGGAAAAACCACCCTAATTTTGAAGAAGATGCTAATATTTTAAGTGATGCTAGGGTTCCTTACATCCCTGCGTGCTCAAAGCAGGCATTCTCAAACTATGGTTTGTGATTCCCCCGGGAAGATTAATAAGCATAATGAAGAGGATCCCACTTGCTCCCACTCTGTTTGGAAGTGGGCAACTCTGCTGAGTTACTGGTCCTGGGTTATAGCATTGAAAGGGTTTAGACTTTCCTTCAACCACCCTAAGAGGTGAACTATCAGATCAGGAAAACTTCAGCATAAAACTTTTTCAGCCAACTTTCAGACATACAACTCTAGGGGCTGGCTGAAAACGCCTCATGGCAAAATCCTGCCTAAGCACAGCCTCCAGAGACATTAACCTTCTGGGGAAGCCACAAGGAAAACTCCAAATGGTGATCACATGATTGTGAGGCGCTTGTAGATAGTCAAGTACCCAGATCACAATCATGTGGCTGCAGGAGTGCTGCAACCAGCAAAACTTTGTGGACTCATCATAATCCCTTGTTCAGCCCTGTGATAACTCTGGATGGTTGCCAAACAAATGGTTGGAAGTTGAGGACTATCTACTCTTGAAATTGCTTCATATAAAAAGGAATTGACCATAACAGGAAGAACTGTACTGACAAATAAAGTTATCGATTTTGTAGTCCTTCAAGACACCCAAACATCTGAAACAACTGAACTTTACAAAGCACTGAAAGTTAAATGCCCACAAATAAAGGAAAAAAAAAACAGGATTCAAGTCTTAATTTAACATCAAATCTCCTGCCCAATGCCTATCACTGATTCTGCTGACAACAATATACATGATACCCAATTAGACGAAAGAGACAGATTGCTTTCCTTTTTTTTAAAAAAAAGGAGGAAGACATAATAAAAACAGGCTGGCATGTTAACCCTCCCTTGCCCTATCTCAAAAATGTTCTC